CCCGCGGCCCCGCCCCTCCCGGCCCCCGCCCCTGTCCTAGCCCCGCTCTGAGTTCGGGTTGGCGGGTCCGATTCTTCCGCGAGGGGCAGGGGCCGCCCCCTGAGCCCGGGGAACTCTGGGAGTTGTAGTGTGCTCTCCCCCTCCCCAGGCTCAGAGACCACGGCCGCTGATCTAGGCTCATCACCTGCAGGGGCTGAGGCAGGACATCCAAGAGTCACTGCTGCCTTGTGCCTCCAAACTCTTGGAAGTCTTGGAAAAATCGTTGCTCCTCATCAGGACACTGGGGGCTGGGTGGGGTGAGCAAAGCACTTCTGACTTGGACTTGGACTGGTTGGAAGGCATTTCCCAGCTCCTACCCAGCCCAACATAGAAGTAGAGGTGGTTGGTGTTAACCAAACCAGGACCCCGGCCCAAAGTAGCAAGTCCGTGGCCAAAGCTCTGTGGGGTCCCAGAAATGCCTTGGACAGGAAGCCTGCTGGCAGTAGCCAGTGTCCGCAAGACAGAGTGGCAGCTACGAAGTGAACAGTCTAAAGAGGCGGCATGACCCCTGCCTGGGGAGATGAGGACGAGGCTTCGGGTGGAGTAGGGGCCAGAGGAGATGCTGAGCCAGCTGCGGCAGGGCTTCTGCTGGAGGGAGAAGTAACTTGGGCATACTCACGTCGTAGAAGAGGAAACCAAGGCTTTGAGAACCCGAAATCTGAAAGCATCATTTACAGTAGCCAAAAGGTGGAAGCAACCCAGCATCCATTAATGGATGAATGGGTAAACAGTGGTAAGCACATACAAGGGAATATTGTTGTATCATTCAGCCTTAAAAAGGAAGGAAATTCTGACATACGCCAAGACACGAATGAACCTTGAAGACATTCTCCTAAGTGAAATAAACCAGACACAAACGACAAGTACTGTATGATTCCATTTATATAAAATACTTAGAGTCAAATTCATAGAGACAAATAGTAGAATGGTGTTTGCCAGGGGCTGGGGGCAGGGTGAACTAGGAAGTTAGTGCTTAATAAGTATAGAGTCTCAGTTTTGCAATATGAAAATGTTGGGAGATGGATGGTGGTAATGGTGGCATAACAACGTGAATGTATTTAATGTCCTTTACCTATGCACTTAAAAATGGTTAAAATGGTAAATATTATGCTATGTATATTTTACCACAATTTGAAAAAAAGAGCCTACAGTCTCAGCATGTGGCTAGCTAGTTCCTAACCCACAGTAGGTACACACAATTTTGTTGAGTAATTTTAATACGACCAGCTCTCTATGCATTTCCTAATTTTATAGGATAAAGCTGAGCCTCTGGAGGGTTTATTAGCTCAGATAAGTCAGCTGGCAAGTGGTGGAGCCTGAGCTAAACCCAGGCATTGGGGCTCTAGAACAGGCTCGGTTAATCATTCCGCTCAGCCATCTCTTGGCAGGGCTGTTAACTGAATCAGGAACTAGCATCTGAGGAGGAGAAAGCATAAGGGGGAAGATATGAGCTCTGGTGAAGATGTGGTGGGCCAGCAAGATGTCCAGTGGTAGCTGGAACTGAGGCCTGGAATCTGGGAGCTTGGCTCAGACTGGAAACACAGATGGTTAAGGAGACCTTGTACCCAGGCACTCACCAACCCTGTTTGCACCCACTACCGCCTGGCCATCACCCTAAACAAATGGACCAGGGTTGTAGGTTGGTGACTCTGGCTCTGGGATAGATCTCCCCAGACTCAGCCCAGAGCAGACAACACTGTGGGCTCCCTTGTCTACCTAATAACGGGTTGGTTTGTAAAAAACCAGTGCCTGTGCTTTTGGTAACAGACACATCATCAACAATAGTAACTGCCTAGAACACTTTTTTTTATTAATAGACTTTATTTTTTTAGAGCCGTTTCAGGTTCACAGCAGAATTGAGCAGAAAATACAGAGTTTGCACATAGCCCTTCCCACCCACACATATGTACTCCCCTCTACCCTCAACATCCCTCTTCAGTGTGGCATATTTGGTACAATCAATGAACAAACGTGGACACATTATTATCAACAAAAGTCCATAGTTTACATTAGGGTTCACTCTTGATGTTGTACACTCTATGGGTTTTGACAAATGCGTAATGACATGTAGCCACCACTATAGTATCATACAGAATAATTTCATTGCCCTAAAAATCCCTTGTGCTCCATCTGTTCATTCCTCCCTCCCTCCCTCTCCCTAAACCCCTGGAAACCACGATCTTTTTATTGTTAGAACAATTGTTATAATGGTGATTACAGTAGTGCACCCCACTTCCAAGCTTCCAAGCTCCCCAGGAAAGCTGAGGCTGTGGGCAGACGCTACAGTGGAATGTCATTAGGATGCTTTATGAGTCTCACCTTCTTCCATTCTGTAAGGACTGCTCACCCAAGGTTTGGGATAGAGACCTGGACGCTGCCCATTGTCACAGTCTAGGCCAACCCCACTGTCCTGGATGGATATCTGCTCTGATGTGGAACTCACTACCTGACAAAGCAGCCGCTCATCCCCCACGGGACAGAGTTATTCTGCCATCCAGGCAGCCGAGCACACTCTCAGCTTAACAGACAGTGGCTGTTATGCGAAGCCTCAGCAAGTCAACACCTGCCTGTGCTAACCTGGGAACAATATGATCTAAATTTAATTGCCTCCGGAGGCAACTGTTTGCAATAGAAAGTAATTTACAATGGCCAATAAATCTTGCAGTGGAATGACATCTCCATTTGCTTCCCTAAAAGCATAAACACGTCCATTGCTCAAGCCACTGTCTCACACACCTCCACCTCCCGCCCACAGCCACCCACCTCCTGCACCCTCCAACCATCGGATCCCAGCCCAGGGTGGCTCAAGAGGAGTCACCCAGGCCCTCAGTGTCTTTGTGTCTATGTCTCAATTAAACACACATACACAAACACACACATACATACCACTAATGAATGCATTAGTAAAATGCATTAGTAAAATGTTTTCCTGTAAAGACATTGCAAATAAATCAGTCCTCTCTGATACCATTCCAAATTCAGTTCCCTCTCCAACTCAGAGATAAGGACAATTAGCAGAAGGGGCAAAATCTTCCAGAACTTTCCCTATGCGTTTTCATAAATACAGAGTGAAGAGAAATATGTAACTTTGTTTTATGTGTGTGTTTTTAAAAGTGATACAATTCTAATTGTTCCATTCTATAATTTGCTTTTTTGCTACACAGTATGTCTTGGAGATCCCTCCTTGTCCGAACACAGATCTCTCATAGCTGCTAGGCTCCATGACTTGGTGTGGATCTACTACAGCCTTTATTTAGTCCTCTCTTCATGGTGTTCGGTCTTTTTTACAATCAAGTGGATCCTCTGAGAACATTCTGGACTCCCTTAGAACATGTTCAGGGCTCCACAGCTCACAAAGTGTTCTCAAAACTGAGCTTTAAAGTTGCTTTCTCCTTGCTCCTCCCTCCATGTCCCAGCACCCTTTTGGGGCCCAGTTTTAGAAATAAAACCTGGTGCAGGGTGGGGTGGGGGTGATCTTCATCCCTGAGCTCTCAGAGCTGGAGGAACCATTCAAGATCTTCTTTTCACCTGGCCTCATTTTGGAACGATCAGCAGGCCCAGAGATATTAAGCGAGTTGCCCGAGGTCACACAGCAAGTCAGTGTTGTTGCTTTTGGGACCCACATAACCCATCCAGCACACTCGGGAAATAGTGCACAGCCAGTTTTCATCTCTGGGAAGCTCCGTTCCCAGGCTCGGCAGTTGCAAAAGGCCCCCAGGGCTTTGTTTTCAAAGGAGAAATGAAGCGGGAAGTATTTTTAACCGCTGGCCCCGCCTGGCTCCTGCCTCGCTCCCTCGTGCTAGCTGTCCAGGAAAGGCCGGCTTCACAGTGGCATTCGCAACTCATGGAAAACAACAAACGC